CCCCGGCATGGCTGCTCCCCTGCGCTGTGTAACCTCGTTGGCTGCGGCCATGCTGGGTGTTCAGAGTGGAGTGTTGGCTTGAATTCTTGCCCCATCCATTGCCTGTCGCCCTGAAGTTGGCTGTCACCCCGCAGGCTGTCCTGCCTGGCCGTGTGTCTGGCTCTGGTGAAGCGCTGTGTGCTCCTGTACGGCGCGCTGCCCGCCTTCCACGACATCACGCGGCCCCTCAGAGCCCTCCTGGCGCAGCACCTGGCCGGCAGCAGCCACCCCCACGAGCTGCAGGTGAGGCTCCCCCTGAGGACACGGCCCAGCTCAGCCCGTCCCGTGACCGGGGCAGGTTAGCGGGCACTTTGGTCCTTGGCCGCACCCCTAGAAGTCAAGGGCACCGTGTTTGCAAATGAGAAACTCGAATGAGAAGCTGAGTCAGTGCTGAGAAACTCCGAGAAGTAACTGCTGCTGCACGGAGGCTGACCTGGGGTTTAAGCTGAGAACTTTATGTCACGTCCCCTTCTGCCTGCCCACTGCCCACCAGGGCCTGGCACCCGTCCCTCCCGGACCACACACTCTGGCCTCCTCACTCGGGGACTGCATTGTACGGCATGGCCACCCCCGCGCATGCTGTCATATCTCTGCCCCCAGGAAGTGGCCCGAGAGGACATCCTGTCACCCTGCGGGAGGCGGATGCAATGGCCCGTCCCTTAGTTGAAGCGCACCCTGGCTCTGCCCTGCAGATTCGGGCAGGCTAGGGGGTCAGTGGGCCGGGGGGGGGACCTGTGAGCTCGGGGGCACTGCACGTCGTACCTTGCACGTGGTCCCCACGGAGCCGGGGCATTTGGCCCCCCGAGGTGAACCTCCAGGCGGGCAGGGGTGGCTGTGCCTGCGGTGCAGGAAGCCCGAGTTCTGGGACACACCTGTGCGTGGGGAAAAGGAAGGAACGCACATCAGCAGGCTGGCTTCTAGAGAGCTCGGCCGACTCCTGGAAGCGCAGGCTGCAGGTCTTCCGTTGGAATGAAAGTGACGTCAGATCACAAAGACTGGGTCCTGCTCAGTGCCCGCCGGGGCGCGGCGCTGCCAGGCTTCTCTGGGAAAGAATAACCCGTCCTGGGCTCAGGGCTGGCAGCACAGGCTGCCTTCCTCCCAAGTGCCTGTCATGCCTTTCGGACGCCCTGCACTCGGTCTTCCGGTCTGCTGCCCCGCCCCCCATCAGCAAGGTGCCGCTTCCATCAGGGCTCCCACCTGCCAAGGGCCATCTGGCCATCCCCAGGCCATACAACAATTTCAACTGAAAACCAGCTGCTCTATTTGGTCAAACGTTTCATTAATTCTCCCCGAATGCCTTGGCAGGGCCAGACCAGGTGATTTCTCGTGTCTCATATGATCCACGGGCCAGACGCTCCCCACCTTTACTTAGCAGATGAGGGAAGGCCTGGGGGAGGGAAGGAGGTCCCTCCCTGCAGCCTCTGAGGCCGCAGAGCCTCCTGGAGGAGCTGGAGAGGCCGCCGCGGCCATCACAGCGCGGTTCCTGTGCAGGAGCTGTGTCGGAGCGCGCTGGCCGATATGGAGGCCCAGGAGAGGCGCTACCAGCCCCTGGTCTGCGAGAGGAGCAAGCCTGTACCCCTGAAGCTGTTCACCCCCCGGCTAGTCAAAGTGTGAGTGCAGCTGCCTCCGCAGGGCCTTCCATGGAGGGCCCGGGTTAGGGTGTGGGTGGGGGCACCCCAGCCCCAAGGGGCAAGGTGTGGGTGCAGCCCCCCAACACAGCCCCCCAGCCCCCAAGGGGTCAGGGTGTGGGTGTGGGCCCAACTTGCTGGCTCTGCTCTTAGGCTGGAGTTTGGAAGGAAGCAGGGCAGCACCAAGGAGGAGCAGGAGCGGAAGAGGCTGATCCACAAGCACAGGCGGGAGTTCAAGGGCGCGGTGCGGGAGATCCGCAAGGACAACCAGTTCCTGGCCCGGATGCAGCTCTCGGAGATCATGGAACGGTGAGGCCACCGCTGCGGGCGCTGGGAGCCTGCGGGCTATGTCCCCTGCTCGCCCTGTGCACATACGTCCTCCAAAAACTAATCCCAAACTGGGCTTTTTCTCCTTAGGGATGCGGAAAGGAAGCGCAAAGTGAAGCAGCTTTTCAACAGCCTGGCTGAGCAGGAGGGTGAATGGAAGGCTCTGAAGAGGAAAAAGTTCAAAAAATAAACGGTTTTTATCTTGGCAGAGAGACACTGATGTCTTTCCTGGACTTCAGCTCCCATTTCAGCGTCTCCTGAACGCGCTCTGGACCTGGGCAGCGCTCCCTGAGAGCACGTGCTGATGAACGAACTAGTTGATCCGTCGAGTTCAGACGAACTGTCAGTCACGGTCTGGGACTGAAGGGATCTGGCCGGTCATTTTTGCCTTTGTGTATAGAGTGCAGTGTTATTTCACATTACAAGTTATATTTTCAATTATAAAGTAAACAAGTTTGCAAACAGTTTAGAAATCGGAGAAGGAAAAAATCACCCTCAACCCCAGCACCACGACGGGCAGTCCCTCACTCAGTCTGCCTGGCACTCTCCAGGGCCCAGTCTCGGTTCTGGGCACTGAGCCGCTGGGACGCCTGCACTGAGCTGGGAGGCTGAAGACATGGAGTTTGTGGTTAAGGTCACAAACTTGTAAGTTAAACAGCAAAGAGCAACCCTCCCATCCCCTGCACTAACCAGGAGCTTCTCAGGAAGGCAGGCCCCACGGGCTGTGGCTGGGGAGCGGAGCACAGGGGCCCAGACGAGGGCTGTTCTTAGCGTTTTGCGTAGCTCCAGCCCCCCTGCCCTCTGACGTGAGGAGTGTTGAGGCAGGTGACCGGTCTCAGGCGTGAAGGTCAGAGGCTACAAAAGGGGGAGTATGGCTCAGTGGGGAGATATCAGCCAAAGGTACCTAAGGGGGGACATCGAGTCTTTGGGGAAAGAGCTAATGGGTTTTCATTTGTTGCAGGTGGAACAGCTGTGTATAAGGCATAAGTGTAACTGCTATTTTTGTGATTTGGCTGTCCTATATAGTAAAAGGCTAATAGGCAAATCGCCCCACCGGTGGCTATGTCACGCACTGACCACAAGGGCAGAGCGCGCCCACGGGGGCATTGCTCAGTGCTGGGGTCCAGCCCCAGCGGTCCAGGGGCTCCCAAAGGTGTGGACGGAGTCGGCAAAGAATGATTTACACGGACAGCGTTCAGGTGATCAGCATAGCTCTCTTTAGTCTCCGTGGATCTCCCCTGTACCTGGCTGAGGCCACAGAGAGATCCAGAGGCAAGCTGAGCCTTTATTTTATAGCCAGAGGTAAACAAGGTAGTGGTCACCATAGTTACAAAGTTCTTGTGCATTTCACTTGTTTTGGCAGCACTTGCTGCACCTCCCACAGCCCATTAGCTTCCCAGATAAGATCTAGGGAGCGACCTAAGGTCCAGCCTAATTATGCTAAGAGGACGCGCTAAGGATACGGCTAAGGATATCGACTGCCGTCAAGCAGACATCCCCGGGGGCTCCCGGACTTGGAGAGGGCGGGCCGGGTGAGGGAGTCTCCCCCCCCCCCCCCCCCCCCCCCCCCCCCTCGTTCAGTATAGGGGGTGTGTGGCTGACGGCATGTGGGGCTGCATCACCTGTCAGCTTGGGAGGAAAACTTCAGGTCCTAGAATCCCCGCCCACGTGTTTACAGCGCGGGTCGGCCACACGGGGGCGTGGATTGGGTGAGATGAAGGGCAGCGGGCGGCGGCGTGCCAGGCGCCAGTGTCCACAGCGGCTCCA